AGTGAGCCGTTCACCAGCAGCCGTTGAGGGTCGAAAGCTTGTTGCTAGATTTCAACCAATCGAATTGCACGGACCGACCTATCCGATTACAGCTTACCAGGGGACCACGACGCTCCGCTTACTCTGAACGCGTGTTACAGCTGGCGTTGCAGGATCCGTCCTGCTTACTCGGTGGTGAAACGCCCGACTGTTAATCGTAACCCAAGAAACGCTACGCCATCCCAATAAGCGTAACAAACTGAACAATAAGCAATAAGAAGTCTGTATTAAATGAAAATGGAGCAGTTTCTATGTACAAAGATGCTGGTGTATAAATGTGGATCTAGAATTTCAAGCGTTTGTAGATCGGTTGCTTGCATAGGTTTGTGCTTATAGTTAAACTTGGGCGTTCAGTGCACTTGGCTGCTAGGAAGGGTTCGAGTGACAACATGCGCAAGTGTTCTTTGGCGCACATTGCGCAACCCGTTGTTGAATACTTACGCCACACTTGCGGACCCCGTACCGAAGCAATTGAGAATGGTGCCTGCAAAGTTTGGGCCAAGTTTGCTGCGCTTACGGTGCATTAGGGAATAACTAGTAGTGCGGCGGAAAGCCAGCACATAAATGCAGCCTGAGAAATTAATCGCTGAGGCCACATGACGCTTGCGAATATGCTTAGCCATGTTAGGTTTGCACACAGACATAGTTTCAAGGGGAATTCGTTGCAGTTATTGTACCTGTGTACTTTATATATGAGACTTGTGCATCACGTTACAAATATTTCCTGTAGGGGGCCGTCCATGAGGGTAGCATTAAATTCAGTCAGTCCTTCCACCGATGTTATCGGAAGAGGCAGACCTGCTGGGACAGCAGTGACCGATTGATGCAACACTTCTCCAAGATAATTGCTTGTGACTGTCAAGTACTTCATTTGCTTATCTCAAATCGACTCATTTTCTGTTAGTTTCTCTAAATCTAGTAAACATATACCGCAAAGTATGATGTTGGAATGCAGCGAGGCGCCCCTGTAGCTGTACAAGCGTATAACCATTTTAAAGTGTTAAATTTTGCACGTCATCCTTGCGCATTGGGTATCGCAAGCTTCTCTATGTAGAACCAATTTTGGTATCCGTATCGCCGGAGTGAGTACAGAAGGCGGTGCAACCAGAATTCGGACCGCGGTGGCACGGTGGCCCATCCCGTGCGCTACTGTTAGGCTATATTCGGGTTATGGCTGCTGCTTATATGTAGGAGAAAAGTCGTCCAACAACGCAATGTCAAAGCAAATATTGCAAAAATCAAAGTTCCTCACAATTATAAAAGATTTTATGGGTTAAAAAAGCTTCATAACAGCAATACAGCAGATGTTTCGCCCGTTTCTGTGCAATTTGGTCGCAACAGGCGGTAGGCGGATTATCCACTAACGCCCGGTCGTTTTTCGTCGATCCACACAATATGTACGAAAGGTGTCGTGCTGAAACAGATTATGCGAAATAAAATTGTTAGCGTTTATAACCACTACAGTCACATTTTCCGAAGATAATTTGACAACGGTCAAAGTTTGTCAAAAGGGTCTGTTAAAACCTTTCCTTCACGGGGTTATGAAACAATGAACCATACACAGCATTCATAAACCTTTGTATGTAACTGCAGTCCAGTTTCTTGAGTGTATTGGTTATTAGTGGGCATGCGCTTATTTGTCAGGTCGAGCGCTTCCCGATCATTGCTGGGATGTTCGCGTTATTGCGCAATGGAAACACCGGAGAGGCCGTCACACTCGTAGCGGAAACAACACGATCAAGCCATACGCAACAGATGAGAAGGAAGTAGTCATTTTGTAGCAACTACAACTAAGCATCAGCGAAGGGCCCCAGTAACTGGTTCTAGTCATTCACAACGCGAGTGGATAATGCAAGCCTAAACTGCACGGTGAGCCCCTCGGTTTGAATATTTTCTGTAGGTGGCCGCTAGTCGAACTTCCAACGTTGTGGTGAAAGAATTGCTGCAATTCTCTGCCCAGTTCTCCTCTGTAGATACATCGAGTAAAAAGCAAAGTCCCGTAGCAGCGGCGACGGTCATCTACAAGAAACAGTGTAAATAACGAAGCAGGTCACGTATCCCAGACACGAACTTCGGTCCACGCCGTTGGACATTTTAAAGCATGTTACGCTCGTAGTTGGTTGGCAGCAGAAAGGCCGTATTCTAAAATCGGGCACACATGCGGAGTAAACAAGAATCCAAAGAGCTTCGGCAGCCAGCGGCAGAATGCACGCCGGCTGACGTGTAACCACCTGTGGGCAGTGACAACCCTAGTCATGGGGCCTTGAATGGAGCTTAAGACTGGGGACACAGTTAAGCAAGGACCTCGCTGGTAACATTATTGAACAAGAAACTACCCATGCGCTGCTTGCTGAATTTAAAGCTAGAAGACAGGAAAACACTTAAGACGACTTGGTGAGTCACCTACGGCGCTACATTTCCACCAAGTAGGTAATAAGTAGAATGTATACTTGATCTTAGATGAAGGACCGGGCAGTTGCCGGGGTTAATTGACAGCTGCCACGAATCTGACTACTCCGGCAGCATGTCAAGAGCTAGCAGCCAAGCAAAGATGCCATCAGAATCGTTCACTGGACTCCAAAATGTTAGACCATCCACATAGAGATGGTATCTTGAGCTCCTCAGGTAGAACATTAACATACATTGCAAACACTAGCGGACCGAGTGCAGCAGTCTGGAGATTCCTTCGGATTGCCCGGATATGTTGCGTAAAATAATGAATACAACTAGCGTATCATGCCCAGTGGTCGTGTGAAATATGCTGATATGTACTTCGCACGGGTCTGTCTGTTCCAACCAGCAAAGGATGTACACACACGGCGTCAAGGTTGGATTCAGCTCTTGTGAGTATACCTGCTGAACTTACACCCTACGAATTTCATTTAGACAAGGCATTTCCGTTTCTTTCTTTTGTCTTTAGACATAGCCAGTGTGAAGCATGTGGAGGCTGAAGCCGAATAGCACCATGCTGACTGAACGGGTTGCTGAATTTGTACAATAACGCTCTTTCTCTTTATGTATTTTGGTGACCTTGTACTTCCATCTGTGGTGTACCGTCCGTCGCAATACACAGTGTCCAGCCTTCCTCAAGTCTTCTCCCTTACACCGTGCTCCGCGTGTATCTGTTGCGTTTTTTCATCGTGCAATCGCATGCGCACTGTTCGCTTCTCGTTACAGATAGACCGTACCGCAAGATTCACGTTACCTTTTGTTGTCAGAGTTATTACTTCCACAGAGTATTTTGATAAAAGCAAACCCCCGTCCATCGTGCATCTACTTTGATGCGTAAACTGGCGTGTTGCTCAGGGAGCAATCGACAAACCTGCGCCAGCCTGGAGACCATTCCAAGTAACGACGTTGAACTATGGGAGGACCGAATGCATACATATTTGTCCAGCGTAGCCCCACGCGACCATCTGCAATACGTCACGACTTTCCTCAGTGACGAGACCGCACGTCAGTTGTTAGCGTCCGACATACCGCAAAACGTACCTTCGGAGGCCATTTGGCCAAACCTGCGTACCTAGCTTGTAGTCAGGACTTCTACCGCTGTTTCTTCACAGTACTTTTTCGCCCGATAGCGGCCACAGTCAGAGAACTTGCAGCATAACATCGGAAGCTTGCGCGAAGGCGCTGCAGAGGCATATCCTGAGGCTTCGCAACGGAAAATTGAATAGCGTTTGCGTGATAGTTTTACCGTTAATAAATAAATTCATAGGCATATTGCTGGACGGGCTTGTAGTGACCTGGAGATTCCCCTGTTTGGCTGCCGCATGCTGCGTAAAATATTACAAAATCACAAAATTATATTTTATCGATGTACATAGCAAATTAGCCGCTCGCCTGTTTGAACGTTGCTCGCGTTTGTTTGAGTCAACATAGCATCCGCCTTCGAACGGCGCGACGCTCCTCGGCTCCGCGGCCATCTTTGCTCTCCGCGCACGCGACCATACCTTTCCCTAGCTAGCTATCTTTCGGTGCCTTATTTTTAGCACTAGATAGCCTTTCGCCCACTTAATAAATTTTTCCTAGCGTTACCTTTGGTGTTCTCCACTCACCGGAGGTTGGCCTTATATCCGCGTATTTGTTCTAAAGCGTACCGATCCCGCTTCGCGCTTTAGGCTAGATGCTGCGCCATAAGGGACCAGATAAATTTATACATAGTATCATGCTGTTGCATGGGAGTGAAAACCATGTGAGTGTATGTTGCTTGTTGGCATTTACGAATGCATAGACTTTGTAACGGGGTTGTACGCGCCCAAATTGAAATACTTCAGGCTCCTTCATTCCATCTTAGTGCTCCTAGGTTTTTCTAGTTGTGAAAGTTGCCCGGTCAGTTGTGAAAGTTTTGTTTGGAAAAAGATCCAGTTCACCACGAACTTCGCTATAACTCATTTGGACTACTCCGTCACGCCTAGTCGTCACATTTAATGGTGCGCACATGGAAAGAAAAAACCCGGCAGAATTATAAAAAAGGAGAAGTGGAAAATAATTTAATAAATGCGATCAAAAGTAAACCGCGTGTTAAATTCACCTAATAAGGCTGCTTACTTAACTAGTAAAATACAAATTAAGCTAAAGTATAGCCAAACTTGATGCGGCAAATTTAATCTGCGGCGCCATAATTCAAACTTTAAGCCTCATTAAAAAGAAAATCCGTTTGTAAGACAAGAATATTAAAAAAATTAAGACAAGCAAAAGCTGCTCAGAACATACTTTAACCGCTGGTTACGATTAAAATAAATGCAATGCGACACTGCAGTAGTTCACGAGTTATGCTCCATTTAATGGCGATCTACCAATAACGCCACCATTTCATTTTGCTACATAAGGTAAGCCGATATCAGAAAAAAGTAAAGAAAATGTAAAAAGTGGCATACCTAACTAGAAATACACTATATAGCTCGAACTACCATGCGTTAACTAGGTACGACCTTAGGGGCCGAAATTCAAACTTTGCTGGGATGCAGAGCGGATATATGCAAATAAGCGATATTGTTTTGCGGAAACGCTAGGAATCCAGTAGGGAATGTTACTTATGCAAGGGCCTTGAGGACAAGATAAAAATTAGCCTACTGTCAGAAGGCATCAGTGTACCATTTTCAGTGGATATTGAGTCACACATGCTACTATGAACCTAGAATTCAGTATTTTTAAGCCTATAAGTGGCTTCAAACTTTATATCAAGGTTGTATGAGGTAGGTCAACCTGAATATTACAGAAGACGTTAAGGATTTTACTGCCTGTACTGTGAGTGCTGCGCGGTAACTCGGTTTTTTGGCGTGCCATACTGATCGAGATTTTTAGTTGAAATAACGTGGAAAACAGTGTTTGAATAAACACTTGGAACGAAATTTGGCTTTTGTCAAATTTCATCTGATCCAAGATATCTTGGGTCGACTAAAGTGGTACTGGCCAAAGCGTCTTTCTGACGCTTACTGGTAATTTTGCGGTTGTTCTCTTTTTAATCCCGTTTTACACCCTGTTTTGCCTTTTTATTGCGGTAGTTTTACGGTTGTATACGTGTTTTTAAATTCTGCATTGTTTTCCACTTCAATATGGTCGTCTCGCGAAAAACCATCATCATCATCATCATGGGGAGAGATGGTGAGGCGCTGCGGATGTGCTGATGTTGTTGCCTTGACAGAGACATGGCTTTCTCCGAGCGACATGGTTAGCGACCTGCTGGTAGATTTCGTGAGTTACCGAGTAGATAGGCCTGATCACCACACTGGCGGGGGAGCACTATTGCTTATAAAGCGCCAGTATAGTCATTGGGAGGCTCCGTTTATGATGAGTAATACGAACGTTCAGGTGGTGTCTTGTTACTTAAGGATGATGGGCAGGTTGGAGATCTTTATATGTGTCTACCGCAGTCCATCGTCCACACGAGAGGAGGACAAAGAGCTCGGTGCACTATTGAGGCGCGCAGTGGTTGCTGCGCCTAATTTCCTAATAGTTGGTGATCTAAACCTCCCTCATGCGGATTGGCAAGGCACCGCAAACAGAGCGGATACATTGGAACAGGAACTGGTTGACTGGATGCATGAGAATGCACTTGAACAATACATCAATATACCGACCAGGAGCCGAATCGGGAGTGCCCCCTCCACGTTGGATGTTGCCATCACCAAACACGGTCGTTTCGCAGAGCTACAAGTGGAAGCACCTTTAGGTAGGAGTGATCACTGCGTCCTCACTTTCTGCCTAAATACCTTGAAGCCTGCACGACATCCTCGCCTCGTGAGAAATTTCAGCCGCATCGACCATATGAAATTGAGGGATAGAGCCCTCCAGGTCAATTGGATCCCTGACCAGGAACAAGCATCTTTGGAACAAAGGTGGTCTGTGCTTAAAACTGGTTTAGTACAACTATTGAATGAGTTTGCTCCTCTTCGTCCTGCGAGACATTTCAGCAGGCCTCGATGGTGGAGGAGGAGAATTGATAGAGCTCTAAAGAGACGAAATGAGAAGTGGAAAAAATTCACTGAGGCCAGGGGCTTTCGACGATGGCTACAGTACACAAAAAGCCGGAATACGGCTATCAAGATGCAACGGCAGGCTAAATACTCTTATGAGCTTCGGCTGGCTCGGTATGCGAAAACAAATCCAAAGTGTTACTACGGCTATGTTCAGTCTAAAGCCTCCCTAAGAGAGGACGTTGGGTGTCTAAATATGGAAGATGGCAGCCAGGCTGTGGAAGCCAGAGATAAAGCTGAAATGCTGCTAAGAGTCTTTCAGAATCTGCATAGGAGGGACAATGGATGTGCTGCACCATCACAGCCACACTGTGTCAGCAGTTATATAATGCAGGACATCGTGCTGACTGCGCAAGAGGTCTTTACTGTGATGACTAACTTGAATCCCTTCAAATCAGCCGGTCCTGACGATGTACATCCGGCAATAGTCAAGCCACTAGCTGACATCCTTCAACATCCTGTTCTGGAGCTGTTCAACTTGTCGCTCCAGGAATGCAAGTTGCCACGAGACTGGAAGGAAGCAGCCATAGTTGCAATTCACAAGGGTGGCTCCAAATCGGAGCCCCTTAACTACAGACCCATCAGTCTAACCTGTGTTCTGCTCAAGTGTTTAGAGAAGCTTATAAGAAACCGGATTTGTGAGCATTTGGCGGAACACAGTCTACTTAGAGCAGAGCAGCATGGTTTCATTAAAAAGAAGTCGTGCCTCACTAATCTACTGTGCTTCCTCGATGAGATTACTCGATGTCTTGACTACGGGATTCCGGTAGAGGTCTGCTATCTTGACTTTAGCAAGGCTTTCGACTCAGTAAATCACCGTTTCCTACTTGAAAAATTAGCATGGTTCGGAGTACATCCTAGACTTCTGTCTTGGGTGTCAGAATTCTTATGTGGGAGAACGTTTCGAGTTAGAATCGGTGATGTGAGTTCTAGTGTGGGCGTGGCCTACAGTGGAGTACCCCAAGGATCGGTGCTAGGTCCACTTTTGTTTCTTATGTTTATAAACGACTTGGCTCCTCTTATTGAAGACCCCTGTTACATCTTTGCAGATGACTTGAAGCTAGTCAGCAGGGGCAACCGTGCAACACTGGCCAAGGATATCATCAGTGTGGCAAACTGGTCGAAGCAATGGGACTTGCCCTTGAATGCAAGCAAGTGCCAAATTCTGACCACTAGTAGAGACGTACTTGCAGTTCAGACTTCCTTTGGTCCCTTCCCCTTACAATGCACTACCCAGGCACGCGATTTAGGAGTCATCATGACGAGCAGCTTCAAGCCTTCGATGCAATGTCGATACGCCGCCAACAAAGCGCGACGAGAATTGTTTCGCCTCAGGAGGGCTCTGTGTAATACCAAGCCAGAAGTGTTCCTGCCACTATACAAAGCAGTGGTTAGGCCACACTTAGAGTATTGTGTTCAAGCTTGGTCGCCCTATCTCCGTGATGATGTTCTTTGCCTGGAGAAGATTCAAAGACTAGCAACCAGGATGGTTGAAGGTCAACGGGGGAAGCCGTATGAAGATCGCCTAAAGAGCCTGGGGTTGTTTTCCCTTGAACGGCGTAGACTGAGAGGCGATCTGATAGAAACATTTAAGATCATGAAGGGCTTCAGTGCCATCGTGCCCTCTGATTTATTTGAGCTGGCTGATTCTGAACGCTTGCGTGGACATCGCTTGAAGCTCAAACAACAGAGAGCTAGACTGAACGTCAGGGCTAAGTTCTTCTCAAATCGTGTAGTGCGCAACTGGAATAAGTTGCCTTCGGAACTAATGGATTGTGAGACTGTGGTTGCCTTCAAAGCAGGCCTAGACAGGTGCTGGCCGCGTATTTTTCCGGAATTAATATAATCCTATCCAATTTATTCGCATTGTTATCCGATGTTGATCCTTGTAAAAGCAAAGATTGCTCTCGCTTTTGCTTCATTTCTTTTTGCAGAGGCAAGGAGAGGCGATCAAAAGTCGAAGTGCCGGGGGCTCTGGTTCGCTTACCGGTACAAGAAGCTGGACGCTCGTTAGGCGGAAGCCTGTATCGTCCACGGATTTTGACCTGACCTGACCTGATCATTACACGTTAGCTGGAGGTGGAATACACCTCAGCTATTGTGCCGCAATACAAAATAAAAGAAAAGGAAAAAAAGGAAAAAAAACAGTGGCACGCCCGCTGAGTCCCCAGTAACGGATGGACATCGTTCCGGAGAGCTAACAGCTGGCTGCCTAACAGATGAGATCAGTGGTTGGAGGGGGATACTAAACAGGAGAGGGATGGACAAAGGAACTCACAACACAAACGCCATTGGTGCCGGCTCCTAGCCATATCAGCAAGTGTGTCCAACCAAACGTGTTCACCGTCCTTAGGACCCCAGCCAGGCAGTCGGGATGCACCAACCGACGCCAACTTTGAAGTGAGGGTTTTCATTTCTCTCGACCAAGTCATCACTTGGCCTCCCCTCCTCCTCTTCCAACCGCACCCACAACGCGCAAACAATGCACGTCGCGGGAGTCGGTGTGCTGGCATGCGCAACACGTGGCCCAGCCATCGGAGCCTGGTGCGTGATATAATGCTGCTGAGCGGTTCACTCGCTCTGCCTGCACCAAATACGCGACGTCGAACACGCTCATTGCTCACGCGGTGTTCCCACCAGACATGAGCTAAGCTGCGAAGGCAGCGATGATCGAATGTGACGAGTCTCTTCATGTCAGTCGACCTGATGGGCCAGGTTTCACAACCATATAAGAGAGTGGAACGGACGGCTGCGTTGTAAACTCTGCCTTTCAGGGCGAGAGTAATGTCGCGTCTGCGCCACAGATGGCGGAGATTGGCAAAAGCACCTCGAGCTTTTGCTATGCGGTTCGTAACCTCATCTTCAATCCCACGGGTGCTAATATAGCTGCCCAGGTACTTGAATTCCTGAACGACTTCTAGCAGATCACCACCAAGCGTTAGCGCAGGGTTGGGTCCTTGCCAATCTTGGAGAAGTACTTTGCATTTCGATGGAGCAAAGCATAGCCCAAAACGATTGACAGCCAGTGCTAATCGGTCCAGTGCTCTTTGGCATGTTTGGAGGCTGTCGCAGATTAGGGCAATATCGTCCGCATACTCCAAGTCAAGAAGTCGCTCACCAGGAAGTAGCTCCACACCATCTAGGTCGTGTCCAGCGAACGCTGTTTCCATGACTTCATCAATAGCGAAGTTGAAGAGGAAAGGTGACAGCGGGCATCCTTGTCTCACACCGCTGGTGATATTGAAGGGTGGCGAGAGTTTGCCATAAACCCTCACCCTGCCTGAACTATGCGCGTACAGTGCTTTGATAATGTTTACATATTTATCAGGCACACCTTTCCTCAGCAGACAGTCCCAAAGGGCACATCGATCGACCGAATCGAAGGCACCTTTTATGTCAAGAAACACGACAACGGTGGGTCGCCAATAAACATGGCGGTGCTCCAACACTTGACGCAATGTGAAGATGTGGTCGATGCAGCCCCGACCTCGACGAAATCCGGCTTGCTCTTCACGAATCTGGCTTTCACGAGTGCCAGTCAGTCTGTGGAGAATGACAGAGGCAAGCAATTTAGAGGCAATCGAAATCAGACTGATCCCTCTATGATTGCCGCATTCCAAACGAGAGCCTCCCTTGAAAATTGGGACAATGACGGAGCGGTTCCAGTCTGTCGGGACTGTCTCCTGCTCCCAAAGTTTTACGAGCAACTCGTGTAGATCATCTACTAGAGCAGGTCCCCCGAATTTGAAGAGGGCTGGGGGAATTCTATCTGCTCCTGAGGCCTTATGCAATTTCAACAGCCGGATCTCACGTTCGACCTCTGCGCGTGAGGGCGGATCCGAGGAGACGGACCAAGGAGAAGGGCGCTCAATGCCCGAAGAAGAAAGCGATAACTCAGGTTTGTTAAATTGCCTTGCAAAGTGTTCGGCCCAACGCTCCAAGCGTTTTGACAAGCTGTGGATCGGCTGCCCACTCTCGTCGCGTATGGTCTCGCTAACACCAGGTCGCCTGCTGCCTGTTTCCCGTATCAGACGGAATAACTTACGATGATTACCCACGGCAGCGGCTGTTTCCATCTCAGAGGCACGATGAGACCACCAGGTTTCGCGGTCCTTCCTAAGGCTAGCACGTAGTTTTGCCCTGACATTTTTGCGAGCCTCACTGTATTCGCTTCCAGCCGGAATACGTCGGCGAGCATCCATAAGTTCCATAGACTGTGTAGAGACCCAATGTCCGGTTTGGCAATTTGCTTTGCCACATGAAGACATGCCTGCGGACAGTAACGTTTGACGAATATGCGACCAGTGATCTTCAACGGTGTTTAGTGGGCGCTTGCTCAGCCCAGATGTCAGCGCACTATGGTATACATTCAGAACATCTGGCTTCGCCAGCTGGCTGGTGTCAATCCGTTCAGATCGACGTTGCGGGCGTCCACCGAAACGCACCCGGAGGTCGGCACAGACAAGTGCGTGGTCAGAGTCCACGCACGTGCTCCAAATCGAGCGACAATTTTGGACACAGCCCCTCCAGCGGTAACTGATCGCGATATGATCGATTTGTGTCCATGGTTGGCCCGAGGCTGATGGCCGCCAAGTCACGCTTCTGCGCGTGCTGTGTCGAAAGTTAGTGCTAGCGAGAAACAGGCGAGCATCTTCACACAGCTGTAGCAATCGCTCACCATTATCATTACGCGAGCCTACACCATGTTGGCCGCCCAGATGAAGCTCATCAGAGGACAACTTTCCGACTTGGGCGTTTAGATCACCAGCCAACACCACAGTATCCGTGCTTCTTCTGTAACGAAGGAGCTCGTGCAGTTGCTGATAGAAATCATCTTTTACCGAATCAGTGCTACAGTTTGTAGGGGCGTAAGCCGCAATGACAAACAGGCACCGTTTGTCCCCGCGCGACTTCGTAGCACGGAACGAACCAGATAATCTAACGGCACACATCCTACTGTTTACTGGGATCCAATCAATCAGGGCAGCTTCAGCCCGGGGACTCAAAACAATGCCGACGCCAGCTTGACCGGCATTTGAAGCTGTATCATCGCCAGACAGGCGCAATGAGAATGTGCCGCCAGTGGCGCATGTGGGGGATCTCAGGGTAAATACGGAGCTCGAATCTTGCAGGCGGGTTTCTGATAAACAGCAAATATCGATCGATAGGGTCTCTAGTGTGCGGGCAAGTGCTGCCTGTTGGCCAATCTGCAACAAAGTGCGCACGTTGAAGCATGCCAGTCTTAGCGAGACGCGAGGACTCCAAAGGGAAACGGATGAACTGACGTTGTCCGCTTGCTTGAACATGGACTTGTCAACTGGATTGGAGCGAGGCCCTGGGATTGTGTGTGATTTGAAATTAGAAGACAAGCGACTACTGAAGAAAGCTGGGGGAGGGCCAAGAATTGGGGGATTGAAAATGGGGGGGATATAAGTAAAGTTGGAGCGGGACGATAAGGATGAAGAAGCGCAAGAAGGGGTATAAGAAGACGGGAAGGCCTGAGCAGTAGCATCCAAACCCCTATCCACCCTGCTCGATGCAGCAGATAGGGCGCCGTTTATTATCCTCTGCGACGGCCAGAGCGTTTAGTCCTGCTAGATTATCTGGTCTCCGCGGGCATTGTATGAAGCTGGACAAACCGCGGTCTGATCGAGTTAGAGTGGAGACATGCTTATCGCGTCGAGTCATCGAGCGCTGGAACCTGCTTCCTGAAAATGTTGTCAAGGAAGCTACGGTTAAGGGGTTTGAACGTCAACTAGATGCTCTTGGGTGCCAACACGAAACCTTTCCGTTTTCCTGACAAATTCCCATCTTCATACTCCGATTCTATTTTCTTTGCTTTTCCTCGTCATTGGTATTATTCTCTTCTTTTAACTGATTTCCCCTACTCTCTTACCTTCGATTCTCCTTCCTCTCTTACTTACTTCACGTAACTGACACAGCTGGGACAGCTAATGTTAGGAACGTGGGCATTAAATTGGTGGACCAGGGTGTTTTTCGGGTGTTTGCCTTTTAGACCCATCAAGAAGTCGGAGCACCCCTATCAACTCCTGGATCGATGACCCGCTCAAGAAGGAACACTTACGGGATTCATCCTATCGTTCCAGTCCCACTTGAACTTGAACTTGAACTACACTATATTTATTTTTGTTTTTATCACTTCCGTTACCGAACATCCTGTACCATTTGCTTGAATTCATAAATTTTGAATGCAACAATTTCTACGCGCTCGCTTCGGGAGGGTTTCGTTTGCAGCTGCCTCTGCTTGTGTTGCTGCCATGTTGTTCCATTATTCTGATTTATATCTTTGAATGGCTAGTCGGCCTCGGACTAAGATTGACTTAAAAAAGAACTATAAGGCAAGTGTGCTCGGTTTTTCTTTTAGGATGTTTTGCCTAAGGTTTTCTTTTGCCTCCGCATTCGAACTTATTACGTGACGATCCTATACATTTTAATTGGTGACCCTTGGTATTTTTGGAACAAGTTGTTTTTCTTCATTACGTTTGAGCAACCCTTTTGTGAACAGTTATTTGTAAAGTCCGTTATGTTTTTTGCTATCTTTTGATGTGTCTAACCCACGTGCTTGGTTTATGCAACCGCAATCTAGCTCTCGTTTCCGTAAGATTACCTCGCATTCTACGATGCTTTCTTGTCTTACTGCTCAGTTATCTACACAAATGTCTCCAGAAATCATCGACATCATTGACTCTAAGCCGACTGACTCACTTTATGGCAAGGTTAAATTAGCTAGCTTAAAATGCACTGGCTCATCCAACGAGGCACGACTCCACCAGCTACTCGCTGGCGTCGAGCTTCATGAAAGTACGCCACCTCAGCTCCTCCGACACAGGCAAACGCTTGTCGGTCCAGCCACCTTAGAGGACTCCATGCTTTGCCAACTCTGGAGTAATTGTCTTCCAGCAACCAAGACTGTAATACTAGCGGTTTTATCTGTGCACCTTCAACTGACTAAGCTGGTAAAAGCGGCAAAAAGTACACGATAAATTCTTTACAAACGCTGTGAAGCATGTGGCTGTAGGGTCCGCTACAAGCATTCCAGGTAGTGCCACGCACGACTACATAAGTGAGCGGCTCTCAAACTTAGAGCTCAG